TATGTGCAGGAGATTTCTGATGAAGAGTCTAGGCCCGAAACGTCAGCCTCTCTGCTCCTGTGATGCTGCTTGGCCTGCTGTGTTCATCCAGCCCTGCACCTTGTTGTCTCGGATTCTCCAGCATCTGCAGTTCCTACTATCTCTGTGCAGGAGATTTCATCAGTGGCAGCAACTCAGACTCTGGGTTTCAGAGCTTGAACAGCAGATAGTATCACAGTAGCACATCCATCAGGTTGAGAGCTTTGTGGCTAACACATTTGCTTACAATTACCCAGAGAAGGTAAGAGAATGGGTGGTCACCAGGCAGTCAAGGAGAAACAAGCAGGTTGTGCAGGAGTCTCCTGAATTCGTTCTCAATATTGATGAAGGTGATTGGTTCATCTGGGGAGCAACACCGGAGCCAATAACTTGGCACAATGGCTGGCACAAAATTCACAGCGGGACACAAAGAAGACTGAAAGTCCAGCAGTGGTTTGAGATTCAATAGCTTGGGCATGAATCCAGGATGGTGTGGCGTTTCCTTGGTGCCAGGTTTGGAGCTGTTACTGAGTAACAGTGAGGGGAGTGTGAACAGGCCAGGAGTCATGGACCATGTTGGTACCAATGACATTTGTAGAAAGAGGAATGTGATCCTGTCGTCAGAATTTAGGAAGCAAGATCGGACGTTAGCAAGTTGGACGCATCTACAAGTGAGTATGGAAATAGGAGGTTAAAACAGATGAATATGCGGTTGGTAAGATGGCCCAAGAGGGAGGGCTTTGGATTCCTGGAACATTGGACATAGCTCTGAGGAAAAAATAACTTTACAGGCCTAACAACTATTTGCATCTAAACAGAAGGTGCTGCATCAATGTGGCTCAGTTGCCTCTGATCCACAATATTGTTCAACTCCGCCACAAGCATTGCGTCCATTAAGGCAGTTTTGATTACGGAGACCATCACAGTGCTGGAGAGAGAGGGTCTCTCAGAAGGTCATGGACAGAACCCATGGACTGATCCAGGAGCAGTGACAGCAGCAGAAACAGAGCGAAGGAGAGCAAACCTGGGGGTGAACAGCCTGAGGAGTGGGGTCAGTCAGAGTGAACCTGGAGGTAAACAGCCATAGCAGGTCCTGATTTGCCACATTGAAAAGGGACTCTATTGTCAGGGACACAGACAGGCATTTCTGTGGCCAAATGTGAGATTCCAGGATAGTGCGTTGCCTCCTGTCCAAGGTCAAGGATGTCTCTGAGCGGGCACAGCATATTCTGAACAGGGAGAGTGAGTTGTGGTCGAGGTTGTTACCAATGACATAGGCAGAAAGAGAGATAAGGTCCTACAAGGGGAGTTCCAGGATTTGGGTAGGAAGTTGAAAAGCAGGACCACTAGGATTGTAGTCTCAGGATTGCTTCCTGTGCCATGTGCCAGTGAGGCTCGGAAGAGGAAGATGGTACAGTTAAATATATCACTACAGAGGTGGTACAGGATGGAGGGCTTCAGGTATGTGGCAGGTGGGACCTGTACAAGAAGGACAAGTTGCATCTAAACTGAAGGGGCACCAATATCCTGGCAAGGAGATTTGGTAGTGCCACTCGGGAGGGTTTAAACCAGTGTGACATGGGAGTGGGCACCTGAGCAGTAGGTCAGCAATAAAATGACTGAAGAGGAGTCTGGTGTAAGGCCAGTAAGACTAAGAGGAAGAACAAACAGGGAGATGTTACCGAACATGGTGGGACTGTCTGTCTGAGGTCAATTTGCTTTTATGCGAGAAGTATGACAGGTAAGGCAGATAAACTTAGAGCATGGATTCATACATACAACTATGATGTTGCAGGTATTACAGAGATTTGGGTGAGAGAGGGACAAGACTGACAGCTTAACATTCTGGGATTTAGATGTTTCGGGTGAGATGGAGAGGGATGTGGAAAGAAGTGGGGGAGTTGCATTACTGACTAGGGAGAATATCACAGCTATACTGAGGGAGGACACCATGGAGGGCTCATCCAGCAAGGCCTTATGGGAACAGCTCAGGAATAGGAAGGGTGCAGTCACTTTGATGGGATT